GATCATGTCCTCAGGAGTGTCCATAGCACAGGAGTGGGTAAATTGCATGCTTAACATTACCTATTTGAAAGTTTTGGCAGAAAAGTTCAGGTGAGTGTTGTTGCGCTTGTTGGCTACTCTTGCTGCCCAAGCGCTGCATGGCTGGAGGTGTCCCTCTCCCAGTGGAGTGGCTGGAGGGGGCCCTGCATTTGCTCAGACTCTGCCGACCTTGGTAGAGCTTTAACTCCCCTCCACAGCAGGTGTGGCTGAAAAGCCAGGTTTTGCCACGGAGGACAGAGGTGCAGGCACCTATATGCATCTACCGTCTTTGATGAGGAAGTGGTTGTTTCCAACAGCGGGGCAGCTGGGGCCAGCAGTGCCTACAGGGGCACCGCAAAACTCACCACCACGTGCCTGGTGTCACTGGAGGGCTTGACAGGCAGCTGAGGAGGAACTGGGAAAAGTGATTTTGTTTTTCCTTTGATGATGTTAGGTTTTTGAAATATTTGAAGCGTTTGGGAAGAAGACCCACAGAGTTGTCAGCAAACCAATGTTTGGGCTGAACCGACTTCAGAAACCAGAATACAGAGTGTGAGAGAAGACAAGGGATCCAGCTTCTCTACCACTGAACTCAAGGACAAAACCTCTTCTCTTACCTTTGGGGGTAAACTTACTCAGAAACAGTAGTCTCATCACAGTTATTTCCATCATGTGGATGATCCAGTTAGAACTTGACTGACCAAGCCTCTAGGACCCACTGATGTCTATCTGGTACTAGCCAGTTTGTTTCCAACCTTAGCAAAATTTTTCCTGAGACACAGCAATGCCCACTGAGACACTGGAGGCTTGTGCCACTGGTGGCTGCTGCTTAAATTCAGGAAGAAGAAAAGGCTAATGTCAACGACTCTTCAGGCTGGTGAATAGTTTTTTTTCCTTTCCTATCTGTACTTAGACATTTCTTGCCTTTCCAGTAAGCTACTCTTTTATGAAACACACTTTTGTAGGTGCCTAAGTAATTTACATAAATTCCCCAGCACAGATATGCAAGTCAGGTGAATGTATGAAACCAGTAAGGGTACTGGAATAACTATCTGAGACAGGAACCTGCAGAAAATAAAATGCCACTGTCTGTACACTTAGCTCACTGATGGGTTAATAACTTGGTGATTCGAGGTTCTTCACTGAGAACAATGGGCAACAGCTGCTAACAGGGTCTGACACTAGCCCCTTGGGATGAAGAGGAAGGTTAATTGAATTCTAGTGAGGCTCCCTTTGTGTTGCAGAGCAATTGAACAAAACAGGGCGGCCAACTTCCCAGCATCAGCCTATGCATTGTGGCAAGTTCATCTGCAGTGTGACTAAACTGCCTTCAATAGAAGGAATGAATGTAGCCTCCTAAAGCTAGATTCAGGGAGACTGAGATAATCCTATCGGTAATTTTGACTGACAACTGAGGCCAGTGTTTGGTTTTACTTGTGGAAATGTTGCAGGAGGAGTGTGCATTCTTGGATGGCAGGTTTACAATACATCTTGCTTGCTGGGGCTCCAAATGTACTGTTACAACAGTGCGAAACCTTCTCCTGCTTCAGTTATTCACGGACATCCTTAGCTGCACAATAACAAGAGCTGTGGGCATGTTGTGAATAAAAGAAGAGAACAAAAAAGATTATTTTCACAAAGTCACTCGCTTTTAGCATCTAAATCTTTGGCTTCTCAGAAGCTGTGATACTGGTCTTTGGATGCAGACAATACTAAGCGTAATGTTATTTTGAAGATGTTTAAGCCTGATTGGTCCTCATTAGTTAAAACAAGGATGAAATTTTCAGCTTGCCAGATAAAAGTGTATTTTATGTTTTTAGCTTTTAATTCACTTGGATATCTTCCAGTAGCAAATGGTTTCAGGTTATTAATTTCTCCATTACAAAAGTGATTGTCTGAAATCTGACCTGTCTTTGGAATGATATTGCGATACATCTTTGCTGCATCACAGAATGTTAGGGATTGGAAGGGACTCCAAGGGATCATCTAGTCCAATCCCCCTGCCTGAGCAGGACCACCTAGATCAGATCACACAAGAAAGCATCCAGGCGGATTTTGAACGTCTCCAGAGAAGGAGACTCCACAACCTCTCTGAGCAGCCTGTTCCAGTGTTGTTACCCTTACTGGGAAGAAGTTCTTCCTCATGTTTAAGCGGAACCTCCTATGTTCCAGCTTATATCCATTTCCCCTTGTCCTATCATTGGATGCCACTGAGAAGAGCCTGGCTCCATCCTCATGACAGTCACCCTTTACATATTTATAAACATTAATGAGGTCCCCCCTCAGTCTCCTCTTCTCCAAGCTAAAGAGACCCAGCTCCCTCAGCCTTTCCTCATAAGGGAGATGCTCCACTCCCTTAATCATCTTTGTGGCCCTGCGCTGGACTCTCTCAAGCAGTTCCTTGTCCTTCTTGAACTGAGGGGCCCAGAACTGGACACAATATTCCAGATGCGGCCTCACCAGGGCAGAGTAGAGGGGGAGGAGAACCTCTCTCGACCTACTAACCACACCCCTTCTAATACAGCCCAGGATGCCATTGGCCTTCTTGGCCACAAGGGCACATTGCTGGCTCATGGTCATCCTGCTGTCCACCAGGACCTCCAGGTGCTGCTCCCCAACAGTTCAGTCCCCAACTTGTACTCTGAGAACTTGCATGTTCTCAGACTTCCCACAAACTGGATTTAAGTTGAGCCCTGACAACATGCACTCCACTTTTTGCCCACCCAAGCCATGAAGACTTCTACAACTTGCCTCCTATGGAACAGAGCTCTCTTAGTGCATGAAAAGGAGTCCAAACACTTTCTTCTTTTCATTTGTATAGGATAACTCTGTATTTAATTCCAGGAGTCAAGAGCACCATAGCTAGTAATATTCCCCCAGCAATTTTTTGTTTACCTTTGTCCAGGGTCTGTTCTTGTTTGAACTTTTCTCTCAGGCTGCCTGGTCTGACTGATTTCCTGATGCACTATTTCCTCTGTGTCTCTCCATTGTTTGTGCAGGCTGTTTGAACTTCAGTCACTCTTCAACTCTCCTCTCTGCTTCTTCACCTTCATGTGCAAATGCGCATTGGTTGCTCTGCTGCAAAGTAGATGGTTACCACTTTCTTTAGTTGTGTTGGAGCTGCATACTAAAGGTGGTTTTCACCTTAACCTAGTCGCGTGGGTGCTCTAGTATATATTATTTTCATATCTTTGTAATCCCATTTCACTTCCTATATCTGCATAGTGCTTTGGAAGAACACACACACACTCACTCACTCACTCACTCACTCACTCACTCACTCACTCACTCACTCACATCCAGACCCTAAAGAAGTAAAAATAAATAATCAACAGTCCTATTTAGCCCCATTTTTTGAATGAGACCCCTCGTGGCAGTATTGATAAAGTCAGTTGCTGGACTTTTCGCAAAAAAAAACAAAGGCCCTCCAATTAGATGAGATTGAAAGCGTCTCTTTACATAATTCTTTACAAACCACACACCTAGCCACTATGCACCATTATCACAGATGAACCAGATATAGCCAATGCAGTTAGAATGAAAACCAGAGGGAGGAATATTGCTTAAAGCAACTCACTTTTATTGACAGAGTACTGTAAGGCAAGGAAAAAATGTTTGCCAGATTTTTTAAAAAGAAGATTTGCAGCAAGAATGATTCAGAAAGATCTGCAGTTCAATATATTATTGAACTTTCAAAGATACTATCTTCTATAAATCCAGTATTTACCTTTTTGTCATATATACAAAAGCTCAACTTAAACAAGCACAAAACAGAACACAAAATAATGGATTTAGATATGAAGTTTTGTTGATGTTTCATAATCTAGCAAACAAGAGAAAGCACATATTCTGTTACTATAGAATTACAGTTGACTAGATTTAAACTTAAATATACCCCCAAACAGATAAAGAAACCACAAAATACAGACATGTTCAATATGACTATTTAAAAAAAAAAACTAAACCATGTTCAACCATACACAGGGAACAAAACATTGATAGATGCCAAGTAAACTGTATTTTATGGCCAAAACTAATTTTGCATTTATGGTGAAGGCATCCGTGAAAACAATGCTGTATTCTGACCACTCTACGTGAATATTTTGGCCAGAAAACATCGCAAAGCATTGGCTTTTGTCTGCTTTTTAACAGATTTATTTTATAAGTGGTGATGTACATTAACTGTGAGCCTCTTACAAGATCTCACACCAGCCCATGTTAGAGTAACCTATCATTTCCATAGGAAACAATGGTAACAGAAAGGTCCCAGCTATGCTAAAAAACCCAGTTGGTGGCCAAGTAACAAAATCTGCAAGCTCTTAGTTCTTCCTAGAGGGATGGGCACATTTTTAGCCCACATTTTCAGACAGCCTTAAACTCTGAAACTAACAAACTCTACTGCATTTTGTGGCTTTTTTTTCTCCACCTTTGTCTCTGTATAGCAGTGGCCTTTCACTGGAAAAACTTTTATGAAAGGGATAGCTGCTTTTTCACTAGCGATAATGTAGCACTACTGGTGCTTCATAAAATAAAAGACTAACATGTCAAAACAGGATGCAGTGGGATAAAAGGGACAAAGGTACTTACCCACAGTACAGTGTCATGCCTTAGCTTTGCAGGGCTGTAGCACGAGTAGTAACATGGGTAAGCAAAACTCACTTCTACCTATACAGGCAAAACTGAACTGTATTTTAAAAGCCATACAATACAACTGTGTAATTAGAACCCCCAACATGCTAATTTTTACCACATAGACAAGAAAAAAGTTATCTTATGACTACGCAAGGAAATGGGACTCAATTAACATGAGAATGATGATCATACATATATGTAACTAGTATATTCTGAAACGAAGCATAAACCATGTTTTTCACATGGACGTCTCCGGCTAGATGCTTAAATGCACAGTTTTAGTGTCTTTTTTCTTTTTTTTTCCTGTTTTCTCTATGAAAATCAAGCTCTTTGCATAATTAACCAAAATCCAAAGATATTTACATTTTAAAAGCCAGTCCTTCACCTTCTGATTTTAAAATGAGTTATCCTGCATCTTGCATATTTTAAAAAAAGGTCCAGAAAAAGCTTAGATTTGTAATTCAGAATCTGTACTTTGTAAAAATACTTCCCTTGAACATGAAGTCAGTGCTGACCTCTTCAGGTCATTTGTGTATAATAAAATCTCTCTAAAGGAATGTTACTAAATAAGAACTGAGGGAAAACACAGAAAGAATATATTACCCCTGTATTGTAAAGTGTTGCCACTTTAAAGTACGGTGCAGGTTGAAGAAAAACACAGGACTGTGTATATCAAAATATATTTTCATTATATAGCTACAGAACATATGACATCTTTCAACGCTCTGTCTGCTAAAGGCAATGTAGTCTCTCTGGCTTTGTTAGTACTGCTGTCACATACAGGTTTCTTAAAGTACAGTTAGTACCTCTAGAGGTGAATTCTAACATGTAGGTGTGTGCTATGCTTCACATGGTAGAAGGACAAGCATTTGAAAAAATTTATTACATTGAATTTAAAGAAATCGTACATCACACAGCTTCTTCAATTCTAAACATAAAAAATTAGATGTACTTGAAGTGGCTGTTGTTGCAGTATGACTTAAACTCTTCTCAGATATCAAGAAGGTCCTCTCCACTCTCATCACTCTCCACAGTTAATTGTCTTGTCCACCATTTCTTGACTTCTGATCCACAAGAAGCAGCATCAGACATGGGATTCATTTTGCATACTACAGTTTTCATAGTTGAACGTCCACCAAAGCGAAGGTTGACTGAAGACACTGAATGGCTTATTGGTTTAGGGGCTATGAAATTAAACAGAAAGTTCTGTATTAGAGTAGATCTGCTTCTTGAACATTTTTGCTTAAAATTCAGGTATACACAGCTGGCTGGACTAGGGCAGCCTTAAACTGATTTAGTGCAGCAAGAGCAAGGCTCTGTTCTAATGTGGTTTTTTTTCAGCTTCAGCTGTTCACCTCACTCCCACTAATCTGCTGGTAGAGCAGTTGAACTGAGCAGTGCCTTATTTCCTTCTGCTGGGATAGCTGATGAAATAGATCTCTTCTTACCCGGCTAATTGCAATCTAAATGGTTTAGGCAGTACTTACATGGGCTGACCTGCTTAAAAAATGGTGAAAGTGTTAAGTGCCAGAAAGAGGGAGGGAAAAGTGCATTTAGAGTTGGCAGCTACACCTACAAAGTGATATTTAACTATGGCCTAGGGGTGGACGCCAGTAAAAAGTGCTGGTATGGCTTTAGGAAACCACTAAAACACAGGTGTAAGTATACAAAGCCCACACTGATCTTAATGATGCCATTCATGATCTTAAATACATGTCTTTGTTGGATTAGGGGCAGAGTACTTATCATTTGCTGTACTGTGCATGGAGGTGATCTTCCTTTCTGAGATCGTCCACCAAGGAACATTCAAGAGCGACATGGCCAAGATAAGTGCTAAGAAAGGAAACCGTGAACTCCTCATTCTCACTTGAAAAACCTATCCAGTTGGCTGCAATAGTACGATTCCTCCTCAGCATGCTCCCTCTTTTACTCTTTCTCTCTGTTCCAACAAAATGCTGATCTTTGCCGCCCAGTGAAAATTTAAGTGGAAAACATGGGTTGAAAGCTCTCTATTAAGCTGTCCTGTTTCTTGGACAAGTACTCTGGTCACAAAAGTAGGGTTAATGGTACTCATAGTATGACCAGCTCTTCTACTTCCACCTAGATATGATTAGGGTTTGAATAGTGGCAGTCTTTGAAGGCAGTGCTCTCCCTCAGAATAGGACTGACCGATGACAGCTGAAAGCAGGTTGATGTGCAGACATCTAACCTGCTGGTAATGAGTGTGGCAGGCAGCAGAGGTCAATATGCACTTTAAGTGAGAATATTTCAGGTGATGGAGAGTGCTTTTGAGAAAAAGACTCAATAAGGCCTCAGACTGTACCTATGGACCTCTCCCACCCTCCTATAAGCACCCTCCCATAAGGTATAGTCTAGCCTTCCTTTTCTGGTGGACAGTAGTTACCAGAATAACTTGAGGATATTTCCTGTTTGTAAAAATAAACAGGAAACTGATTGTATACTTGGCCAATTTCTGGCTGAAGTGAAGATATAAAAATGTATTGTTATGGTGTAAAATATAAATCATACACCTGGTGTGCTTAGGCAAGACAAGACACTGAGAAGTTATTACTGTTGTTAGGAAAACATCATTCATTTTCACTGTGCTTTAAGTGATAAAAGAGAACTCTAAATGCACAAGATACTTCACAAACATAAGGGACAGTACAGCCCCCAACCCAAAGATCTGGAGTAAATGTATGAAAAAGTAAAAAATCCCAACAACCTCCTGCACATGGCAGTGCTTGAGCCCATATTCCAAACTTTCAGAACTGGGAGGAAGGGGAGAGATTGCGGTATTTCAGTATGCATGAGGGTAGAAAAGTACTGATGTGGATGCAAGCAACAGGCAGGAGGTAGAACTGTGAATCACGAAGCCTCTCATGGCCTTGTTATTGTACAGCACTGATTTGGCATGTGGGAACTATACTGATACACATTTTTCACTGACCTGATGGCAAACGCCATTGTCCAAATTTCCGCTGAGGCTTACCAGCATCTGCAGAGTCTTGTCGATAGCCGCCTCTGTCAGAAAGTGTTGGGCTAAGGAGCTGCTGCTGGCTACTGGTCTGAACAGAGGAAAAAGAATCTCGGTCATAGGTCCCCATTGCATGGGGGTAATCCCAAGGAAGGTTATCTTTCTTATTCTATTTCCAAGTTTTATACATGAATACAAACAAAATATATTGCCATTTGTTAAGGTAGCATGGTTTCTATTCTTTCCTGCCCCAGGAAACTACTACATATAGGAAAAAGAAAAAAAAAAAGATCATTTGGGCTCAATTCCATTATATGGTCCCACTGAAAGGCACAAAATTGTTTTCAGCCTTTTACAGTGGAGTCCTTATGTTGTACATTCTTCCTTCCCTACTCTGGAAGAGCCCAGGACTCCTACCCACAGGGCCAGCAAGCCCAACGTTCTCACTCTCAGTGTAAAAACTACTTCATAATGCTTGAACAGGAAAACTTAAGTCCCTGAGCCTGTACACAGCTCATGCAAGCGCTGGAAGTCGGTGCTGCCAGAGTTGTACAGCTGAGTTTGCCCTTTATGGTGCTAGCAAGACAGCTAACTAAGCTGCGGAATCACTGCCTTAGACCATGTCGCCTTTAGATCTGAAGGCAAAGACTGAAGCAAAACAAGATATCGCTTTCAACTTTTCCAGTAAAAATGATGTTTAAAAAAGAACAAATAAGAAACATGGAAGTTTTCTGAATTTGTTCTGAGTAGCTGATAGTCTTCTGGTTAACATACCTCTGGCTGTGCACTGTTATCCTGATTAATAGCATTCATATCTTCACTTGGCTGTGTCGTCTCAATGCTGGGAGGATTCAGAAATCGGCTCAACTCCTGCTGTTGACTCTCTCGTAGACTATGGATAATGCTGCACGACTGCTGTTGTTTCTATCAAGGTACAATATGTGACAACAAAAATGTTCTCATTGGTGTGTCACAGTGTTTGATTTTTGTTAAAGCCTTCTAAATATTTAAACAGTGAGTGTCAGATGTGGACACCAGGTGCATTGATAAAGCTACATGTATCAGATGGTTGCTATTTAAATAAAGTGACTTCCAGCGTATGTCTGACCTTTATGTAGGAAATAAAGGATGAAACTTATAAACTATATTGGAAGGCAAGCTACTCAGCTGTTGGTTTAAACTTAGGGTTTAAAAACATATAAATTTTTGAATTTATGAGTTAAAAGTTCTTGCAAAGGAAAAGAAACAAGGACATTGGTAGAGATTCACTAAGAATTACACGAAGGTAATGAAAAGATTCTGATTTCTTTCATGGACTTTGGAAAACGCTGTCAATATGAATGAATAAAACAATAGTGGAAACCTTGGGACTGAGTATAGATTTACAGTACAAATAGAAAACAAAACCACTACCATTATGATCTTACAACCTAATTTGCTTTTAAATTAAAATAAACGGCTCTTAGGAAGGGTTTCACTTTCCTGGGTAGTCTTCACATGCTCCCTCTAGAGAGACTTAGAGACTAATAAGAGAATTTGAAAATATATATTAACTTCCATAATTACATTCAGTTTATAAAAGGTTCGTACAATGTGAAATGATCTGAACCATATTATTAGAGTGAAATGAATAGCATATTTACTTTAACATAGTGTAATTCAATATCATAATGAAATGAACAACAGAATCAAACAAACCCAGAATTGAGAGCTGAGATTAAATTTACTGCCATTATTATTACAGAGATGAGATAAAAATGAAACTATCTGTCTGTGAATATGCCTTGAACATCGACATTTCAGCTGGAATGTACATTACATTCAAATTGTCCAGGTTTTTTTTTTTTATAAATTTACAAACAGAAAAAGGCAGATCATGATCGTGGGTCTCTCTGGGAAACCTCCACACACAAGAAGTAAGCTTCTATAAAAATAAAAAATATGTGCATCAAAAGGACTCAGCCTTACAGTAACTGAAAAAATCGATCATCAAGGCAATCAGGCTGTGACTTTTTACATAAAGGAAGAGCTGGTTTTGGAAGAAATGAGGAGAATAACTGCAAAACCCAATTCAAATTTCCTGAAAATTTTTAATATAAATTTAATCTAAGACAAACTTTGATCAGTATACATGTGCTGTGTTTATGTGGTGGGGTTTTGGTAGCAGGGGAGGGGCTGCAGATACAGCCCCTGTGAGGGGATGTGAGAAGCTTCTCGGGCTCCAAAACGGGTCAGACCGGCCTCTGGGCAGATGAGATCCCCCAGTCAGCACCTCTGCGAATGACATATTTAAGAAAGGGGCAAAAGAACCTGAGCCACGCTCGACCTGCAGTGAGAGAGGGAGGAAACGGGGGACTGGCCCCCATTTGGCCTCCCAGGTGGGCAACTGCCCACATTGGGCAGCCACGACTCGATCGGAGATGGCCACAGAGGTGCAGCTGGGAGAGCTCCGAAGCGCCCTGCTCCCAGGGTGCCCACTGGGCAGAGTTCGTCCTGTCTGGACTGCCGAGGTTTGTTGGGCCAGTTGGGCTCAGTGCAGGTGCAGCAGAGAGGGGACTGAGACCTGAAAGGAACAGCCACGCAGACACCAAGGACAGCAAAGATGGAGTGGGAGAAGGTGTGTTGGAGCTGATTCCCCTGCAGCCTGTGGTGAGAAGGCAGGCGGCTCCCTTGCAGCCCGTGGGGATTAACAGTGGAGCAGAGACCCACCCGCAGCCCATGGAGAACCCCACGCTGGAGCAGAGATGCCTGCACCCAAGGGAGGTCATATAGGACTGTCTCCATGGGAAGGACCCCACATGCTGCTGGAGACTGACAATGAAGCAGAGACACATCTGAAGTCTGTGGAGGTGCCCACTCCAGAGTGGGTGGCTGTGCCCTAAGAAGCCATGACTCCATGGGAAAAGCCCCTGCTGGAGCAATCTGATGGGCAAGGATTGCATCCTGCAGGAAGGACTCAGTCAGAGAAGTTCATGGGGAACAGTCACCTGTGGGAAGGGTGACACTCTGGAGCAGGGGAAGAGTGTAAGGAGACCTCCTCCTTAAGGAAGGAGCGGCAGAAACAGCACATGACGAAATGATCTGCAACCCCCATTCCCTGTCCCCCTGTGCTGCTGGGGTAGAATGGGGAAGAAGGGAGGGGTGGGGGAAGGTGTTTTTAAGGTCTGGCTTTGTTTCTTGGTATCCTCTCTGAATGAACTGATAACAAATTAAATTGATTTGTCCCCAAGCCAAGTCTGTTTTGCCCAGTGCCATGGGTGGTGGATGATCCCTCCCTGTTCTTGTCTCAACCCTCAGTCCTTTGGTTACATTTTTCTCCTCTCCACCCCACCGAGGAGGAGGAGTGAGTGAGCAGCTGCCTGGTAGCTCAGCTGCTGGCTGGGCTAAACCACGACACCTGAGCAAAGGCAAAAACGTTTCTGACAACCAGAAGCACTGCATAAACAGAATACAGAAGCACTGGCTAGGTCTGTAACCAGAAAATCAAACAGACTGGGATTTCCTGGAGCACTGAAGCCAAGTGACAGGCCAGGACCTGCACGACTTGACTAATCTCTCCTCTACCACACCAGACAGCTTCAACCACTTTCTACTGGGAGCAGTGTCCACCCTGACCCACGCCTGGAGGGCGGTGATGCTCCTATGGCAGTGTTCTGGGAGACCAAACAGCAGTGATCTGGGACAGTATGAGTACACACAGGCCAAAACTGTGCTGAGGAACAGCCTAACGAGTATGGGTGACCCCATCCCAGTCCTGAGCCAATGCCTTGGCCCTGCTTAACTTAGCATAGACACAGTTCCTGTGTGCCACGGTTCATAAATCTGATTTACACGTACACATTGATCATTGAATACACAGAGTTACTGTAATGGCTCATTCAAATGATGTATCTTGATATGGATCCCACATCTGCTGGTAGTTGATCATGATATCTCCTGCCAGCAGAGGCAAGAAAATTATACAGTTACATTCTGTCAGGAAAGATTAGGCCTATGAGGTTCCATCAAATCACATTGTTTTTTCTTTATTCCTTTGACTTTGGTCTCTGCACATGCATCTTCCTGCTGTATTGAAAAGACAGATAAATTTTTGGCAGGAAGACAGTTTTTGCCTTCAAAAGATGCTTATTTTTGTAGCGCTTTCAGTTGAGCTGTAACACACTTTTTGTGCTGAGTTAGCAACTGCCACATACTTCTTCACATAAATATTATTGTGACTCCAGAGCAAATGAAGCATAGTGACAGCAAATTCCAGCATTGTTGAGCAGTACAATTTCTGCAAACATTCAGATTTGGTTTAGTTTGACTTACTGCTCTGATTCTCTTTAAGCACTTCTTCAGCCACATGCGTATGGTCTGTTTGGCCACCTCCTCTTCTATGGTATATTCCAGTTGTTCCCTAGCAAGCAGCTCTTCCAGTTGGAGACTTTTTCTGATATCAACAGACCTATATGAAAGCATGCTGGAAGAAACACAGTTTCACTTTTTTTAACTGGTGACCTTACATTTTAATTTAGAAAATCAAAACTCATATTTAAGACCTTAGTGCAACATTTCAGTGCTCGGGATACAAGAACAACACGTGACTGCTCAAAATTAAAATGTTAAAATGACTTAGAGCTGATTCCCTAGGATGTTTTCTATCATTAATATTTTTTCAGGAAAAAAAGGGAAATCTAATTTTTGTACCTCATTTAAAATGGCAGTGTCTCTGTGGCTACCAGTCTTGCCTTTTCCCAAACCTAATGAATACCTGTTAGCCTGCAGAGAAATACACGCCATCATACCCATTCTACAAATTTAGAGAAAATCTCAGAGTACCTGAGCACGTCATGGAAGGTGACATCACCACCATTATGGAGCCGTTCCATTTCGTAGCACATGTGCTTGAACAGCAGCTTGTCCTTGTCGAGATCCACCTCCAGCCTGCCCCGCAGAAGCCTCAGCAGAAACTTCACTCGGAAGGTAGGGATTACTCCCTGGGTAAAATTGCATAATAGATGGTAAATTATTACTGTGACCTAACAATCAACTCAGATATTCAACTTGATCAGTGAGAGAAACACTGCTTCCCCAAAGACTCCATGTCAAATCCTGGCCTATTTAAGTCACTGTGAATACATTACTGAAGAATATACGCATGCAGCCAGCTCTTCAGCACATTCATGGAAGTCTTTGCTGTTATTTGACTGATACACAATGAGAATCTGTACTGGTAATTTTGTCAGAAAAGTTTAAAATTGCTTGGGGATTTAGTTTCCCCATTTGCATTAATCGGTAATGAGAATTATATGCCCAACGAGCTGCCTTTGAAAAACTGAAATTAAACTACAATTTAAAAACTCACAGTCAGGCTTATAACTGGCTGTAAACCTGGTCCCTTCTCTGTGCATCTTTGGACAGGAGAGTGATGGGAGATTACTGGATTTTCAAAGGTGTCCTGCTCTAAGAGTCAACTTAGCATGTGTTGCACTTTTTGTGACAAAAATTTTGATCTGCTGTTAAAAAATCAGGACTGAAAGTATTTCCCTCTGAAACTGTGGTATCCATACTATTCAAATATTTTGTTCTGCTAAATGAGCCTGACTGGAACTATTTTTGCTGTAATGTGTTGTTCCACATCCAAGGGAGATACTGTCAGTGCTGGGCACAACGGATGCAGAACTTTCCATCTACATTAGTATGGACTGTGGCTTCCATCTCCAGCACAGCCATGTGCTAACTACAAGCAAACAACTTCTTTCACCATAATGTTGTTCATATATAAGTCTTAGTGATGTCATGACTCATTCAGATGATGATTTAACTTGCGTGGGCATCTGAATAGCTCAGTCTCCCAGATGCTCTTCTCATCCCAGAATCCCAGAATGGTTGAGGTTGGAAAGGACCTCTGGAGGTCACCTAGTTTGACCCCCTCTGCTTAAGCAGGGCCTCCTAAAGCCATTTACCCATGTCCAGATAGCTTTTGAATATCTCCAAGGATGGAAATTCCACAATCTCCCCGGGCAACCTGTGCCATTGCTCATTTGCCCTCACTGTGAAAAAGTCTTTCCTCATGTTCAGAGGGAACCTCCTGTGTTTCAGTTTGTGCCCATTGCCTCTTGTCCTGTCACTAGGCACCACTGGAAGGAGCCTGGCTCCATCCTCGTGGCACCCTTCAGGTATTTATAAACATTGATAAGATCTGCCCTGAGCCTTCTCCAGGCTGAACAGTCCCAGCTCTCTCAGCCTCTCCTCATAGGAGAGATGCTCTAGTCCCTTCATCATCTTCGTGTCCCTTTGCTGGACTCTCTCCAGTACGTCTATGTCTCTGTTGTACAGAGGAGTCCAGAGCTGGACCCAGGACTCCAGGTGTGGCCTCATCAGTGCTGAGTAGAGGTGAAGGATCCTCCTCCTTGTCCTGATGGCAACACTTTGTCTAATGCAGCCCAGGATACCATTAGCCCTCTTTGTCATAAGGGCACATTGCTGGCTCATGTTCAGACTGGTGTCCACCAGGACTCCCACGTCCTTTTTTGCCAAGCTGCTTTCCACATGGTCAGCACCCAGCATGTACTGGTGCCTAGGGTTGTTCTTCCCTAGATGTGGGACTTTGCACTTCCCCTTGTCGAACTGCATGAGGTTCCTGTTATCCCATTTCTCCAGCCTGTTTAGGTCCCTCTGGATAGCAGCATGATCCTCTGCTGTATCAGATACTCCTCCCATTCTGGTGTCATCTGCAAACTTGCTGAGAGTGCACTCTGCCTCATCATCCAGATCATTAATGAAGATGTTGAACAGGGTTTGACCCAATATTGATCCCTGAGGTACACCACTAGTTACTGGCCTCCAACTAGACTCTGTGCCCCTGATCATCCACCCTCTGGGCTCAACCATTCAGCCAGTGTTCAGTCCACCTCATCGTCTCCTCATCCAGCCCATACTTTATCAGCTTCTCTATGAGGATCCTACAGGAGACAGTGTAAAAATCTCAGCAAAGCCCTTCTGAAGATCAGGCACATAAATAGATGTGAGTCTGTAGACTTTCAAGGGATCAGCTCTCAGGGAGTTGGGAGGAAAGATGCTATTGTATTGATCCTATGAATATCTAATTTGTTTTTAAATCTACTATTGTAAGTTGTAAAGAATACAGGTTAAAAGTTGAAGTGTCATGAACAATGTTAGATCATGCTAACTGAACTTTCACAACCTGAACAGTAACCGCTCAGTGAGTTTCATCAACACACTTTGTTTTCACTATATGTTTTTTCAAAGAAAAATGTAAATTTACTGGATTTCTGTGCTTATTATCAAGTTTCTTACCTCTCTTTTGTCATCAACCATGTTCCATATAATTTGAAAATGCCTAAGATCATTATAACTTAAAAGTTGGTCTTCTTCAGTTGAATAAAACAACGAGAAATTCTCCACAATGATAGCTGCAAATCACAAAACCAAAATACACTGTAGAGAAAGCCTTGTAGTTACATTCTAACTGGTTAATCTTTGCAAGCAACAATGAATTTCAACAGAATGTGAATTCTGTTGTGCAAACTTCACACTAATAAATGCCTTTAGCTGTATGTTCAGATGAGGATTTTGAATAGGTAATACACTGTCGTGCTACATCAATATTCTCTGTGCTCACTTTTGGAAAGCTGTATCTTAAATGCTGGCGAGATATCTAATCTAACATCTTCTAAAATCTATTAGGAGAATTCCAACAATGTTGGAAAAATGTTAACTGGAGGAAGGAAAAGCTCAGAAAATAATATTCCTTAGGGCAACTATACAAATACAACACACCTCTTTGTTCAAAAAACTTCCATTCCCAAACTTCCTGAGTTTTAGCATACACCATAGCAGAGAACTATCAAAACCATCATTTGCATATAAGGTAACAGCGAAGGTATGAGGTAACCTCAGAGCTGAATAGCACGACAGACTCAAATCTAACATACTATGTGCCAAAATGAACCTTTTTATTATTAATGTATATTTTTACTTACCGACAAGCAAATTTAGCATGATGTATGCAATGATGACGTAAAATGAACAGAAATACATAAGAGCACCAGCATAATTTCCACAGTCTGTTTTCCAGTAGGTGCTGTTATCTGGTGTACAGAATGGAGGCTGAACCTTCAAAACAAAAGAAAACAAAGTCAATCAATCATAAGAAGAGATTCTTAATTTCTCTGCAATTAATACTTAGGACTTATTTTTTTAAAGCTTCACAAGTAGGGAATAATGCTGTGGGTATTACTGTGGGCAGTTTTTTGTTGCTCCTTTAGCAGTCAGAAACAAAACAGAGAGAGGTATGACAAAAGAGGCCTTGGCAGGGATCTCCCTATCACACACAAGGCACATTTTGCATTATACCAATGTAAAGAAACAACTCGGTGTTCCGAAATGTGCTGGTTTTCAAAACACCTCTCTGCTCATTCATTTTAAAAAGGAAGGGAATAGTATGATTTTCATTGCAATGGAAACCACCAATAGAAATTTGCTAAAGTTACTTAGGTGAAATAAAATGATTCAAGAACAAATTTTGAGGTCATTAAGACTACCATTCACATGGAACGAGCCAAAATTCAGGCATTAAAGACAAAGTTAATCTGGAAAGCCACCTTGCCGCAGTCAAAGCAGAGATAACAGTGGAAAAGCGAGTTACTGTGCTTCTGATTTACATAACATATTTTTATTTTTGTTTTTAAATAATGCAATAGCCTAGCCCCATGAAATGTTATATTGTGAGTGTGTTATTGGAAGTGCAATCTGTGTGTCATGTTCTGAGGTTTAGTGAACATTACATATCTTGAAGGGATAAAGACAATCACAACCATCCCTTGTACAAAGCTAAGATACCGGAAACACTGTGACACACAAGGGTGTCTCCTGTTTCTTGTCTACTTTATCTCTGGCAGTATTGTATTTACCATGCAGTCATGCATAATTTTGTTCCAGTCTTCTCCAGTAACTATTCTGAAGAGTACAGTAATAGCCTTGCCAGCTGATGAAAAATTTGCATGTCTGTTTTAAACAAAAAGAGAGAGATTGATCATTTCATACCCCAGAACTAAAATGTTGGCAAGAAAAAACGCAAACCATTTCCATTTTCTACTGTTCTACCATTTTAAACTGAAAATACTTACAGTATTATTTGAATGAGCTCATGGAATGATTTATTTCATGACTTAAGATTTTATAACTTTAGCTCAGACATAGGTCTGAGTATTTTGGCTCATTTTATCAAAAAGCAAAAGCAGACTTGGGGCCAAATCCTATCTCCTGTCTCCATTTTCATCCTGAAGCCTGATGATGCTGTTGATTGTGAAATCTCCAGTTAACAGCCAGTTCACAGAACTGTCCCCTCTCTGTATCAGCCTGGTACGTGGATCCTGTTCCTGGGTGATGCTGGTAAGTTGTAGTAGGTACACTGTGTTTCAGCAGCCTGCAGCTAGCGCAGTGCTGCTTTGAAGCATATTCCAGCTGATGTAATGAAGAACAGCTTTCAGCCTGCTCTGGGTGACATCAAGTGTCATTTGGTTCAATGCACAAAGACTGGAAAGATGGCTCAGTGCCTCCTATCAGAAATCCTATTTAGAGCTCTTCAGCTAGACCTGAGGACTTGTCTGTTTTGTACCACAGATAGACTTCTCTCTAGCAGAAGGTGATTTTTTTTGGCTGTTTAAAGAACATCCACATAAGGTAGTACATACTGTACCTGTTAATATTCTCTCCATATTTCACTGTACCAAATAAAACCACTCCAGCAAAAGCGTAACAAAGAAGCAGTAAGAACATTCCTACTATAATGAAGAAACTCTTGTACATGCTGACAACCACAGTCAGGAGTAGCATTTTTAGTGTCACCTGGGAGGACAGAGAAAAAACAATCCATGACACCATTCAGGAAAGCAGAGATAAAAGGGAAAAGAGAGTTATTGCACTTGCCATTTTGACAATGAATTCTTTACATATAGATGTTAATGGATGAGTCCAGGGAAATGGCACGTTATGAACCTGATTGGAACTGAACGTTTTATGTTTTCCTCTGAAATTCAGTGTGCTTTTTACTTGTTAGAGAGATCAGCATATCAGTCTAATTTACAAGGTCAAGATGTTGCTCCTCAAAGAGTATATATAGAATAAGATAATGTATGATAATAAAGCAGTAATACAGCATAAGCTTAACTATAATATTCTAGGATAAGTATACTCCAGAAGTATCAAAATTAACATTGTATGAACAGTGGTGCAGTACACTACTTTGAGCTCATCTGAAAGAGATGCTAACTGTTAGGTGGAAACCACAGATACTGAAGCCTACCTAAAGAAACGGGTTGATGTATAGAGAAGGAGATTTCCTTAAGATCAGCACAGCTTGATTAAACTAGTTAATATCTCAAGCAAGTTGGCCAAAGAGCTTAAGAAGAGAGCATAATTCTGGAAATGACATAGGCAGTAGGTCTAAGTAATAGATATCACTTTTCCATGCATGTATATTGTACATTTTACTCTCGATAAAATTATTGCCTTAGATTGCCCTAACCTCCTTAACCACTTTGGATGCTATGGAAAATTCTCTTTAATGGGATCAAGGGTAGCAGTTTTCTCTAGAATCATGCCAAACTCATAACTCATGCTCACTTTTAGCCATCACATTGCTTAACAACAGATACATTAATGAAACTGATGCAGCTTCTAACATGAAAGCACAAACGAGTAGGTTAAAAACTTGAAAACACTTTAGAATCAATCAGAAGGCTTTGAAGGCAATCACTTGGCCTGGCTGCATAGGAGAAGCAAGGATTTTTCGTTTGACTTCCAAGAATCTACAGACTCTGTATAGTTTGACTGAAGGAAAACTTTTTATCTTTACTGAAAATACCCTCTGACTTACTGTTCTTAACCCCAGTAACCCTGTATAGCAGTCTTTTCATCACATTTACTTTAATATGTCAGAATTCACAGAAAATGTTTGGATAGTCAAAAAAATTCTACAGCAAGAGAATGCAGGTGTCACCACTTGTTAAACAAACGTGTTTGTTCTCTGCCTATGCTTATTCTGCCAGTCTACTCTCAATTACACCAGAGTGAATCTAAACACAAAAGAAATGTAAACTTTAGAAGTGACTGGCTTTGTCACCATCCCAGTGTTTCCAGAATATCTTGGTCCAATACTTTTTTAAATTGAACATAAATCCTTTACTGTGATAAGACATACATTGCAGAGACACAAGACACAGACCTACACTCCGGAGGAAGAAACTTCTATAAGAGAGTGCTATCATAACAAGATGAGTGCATCAACCACCACTCCACTAGTCTCGCAGAGAAAATAAATAAATAGCATGCACATGACACCACACTGAAATGGCAAAGACTGAAAGTAGCACAATGTATATTCAGAGTTTTAGAGAGAATTTTTAAAAAACTATATGGTATTGCAGTTGCACTTTTTCTTTTTTCAAAAAATGCAGCTTTTCCAGTAACCATAACGTAGTGCTATTATAGAATATATATAAAATCCTAGCATTTTAAAGACAGCATGTAAAATTCGAGACTGCTGCTTGAAGTCTCCTCTTTTTTTTGGCATATAAAGTGGAGCCTTACAGAATGTGCACTGGAAATGTGCAGCAACTAGTCTTTTAATCTACACATAAGCATGGCAATGGTTGTAGTTCCTAATTTATACTTACATGCTTCCCACAAATTGAGAAAAACCTGAAGACAATCACGCATGCCCCCATCATGTATGTGTATGCATTCTGGAACAGAAACACAGAAGACTTAATACATTGTCCCCCAGGGATCTCATGGAAAGATCAGGGTAATTGGTCTTTTAATAATGTAGGGCAGTCACCATATGAAATAAGAGAAATCATAAACTAGTAGCACCAATATTTCAGTAACGGTGGAGCAGTAAGAAACTAACAGAAGATGCTTTATCACTTCAAAAACATCCATCCAACCTCCCCATACTTCAAAGCAAAAATCCTTCAGTCCTCTATTAGCTGGGCTGTCATTATGTCCAGCAGCCCCAGTCTACCTGTCCAGGCACCTGCTGACTTACAGAAACTCCTCAGGCTTTCCAAGTTACTCAGCAGCAGGGAGCAAACTGTGGCTGTCAAGGCAAAATGACAAACCACACAAGACAGGTTTTCCTCCAAACAGAGACTGGGGCAGGCAGGAGAGAAGCCCCCAGTCATTTTAGAGTGGTGAGTTCCACAACTTGTGATTGGTGACAAACATCAATCATCCCTTCTCCTTTCCTCAAAAGTAAGGGAATCAGGGGTGCAGCCAGCTTTAAAAAAACAGGATGAGATGGAGGGAGAGCTGATTTCTTCCCCTCTCCTCCATGCCTTCTTGGATTAAACATAGCCTCTTAATCAAAACCAGTGGTGCAGAATCACTGCTGGGTTTAGGACAGATTGTACTGTTCAGCAATTTTGAACCTATGCCTTCTTCTAGACCTCTGTTCCTATCTGGATTTTGTGCATTCTCTCTTTGGCAAGAGCTCTCAGTCTCTTCAGGTTCCTTCCTTTCCTTACTCACATCCCTTCCAAAGACTTCAGTTTTTTACCACATTTACAGACTCCATCTCATATCAGACAATTTTTGTACTTCATCATTGCCCAAGACAAGGATTCCTTCTTCTTAGCATCGAGCTTAATCTATTTCAGCCATATTTCAGCCTTATTAAACTCCTAAGGATTTATCTGGATGTATAGCAGTGATCCTCCTGCTGGTGCTTAGCAGATAAAATCAAGCTTAATCACTGAAATTGTTTTGGAAAGCTTACCAGTAAGGCAAAATGAAGTATCACCCATATAACTCCAAGAGACGTCACCAAGAGATCATACCGATTTCTTCTGCTTTGCCAGAAGCCAGAAGGCGACATGGCAATAATCTTCATTGTGACCTATGGATAAAATCAATTCCTTGGTTGTATGGAAGAAATGGTTAATTCTTACTATAAGAACCTCTAAAACATTTGATTGAGTTCATCTTATGAATGTTTTCAAACAACCAAGGGCAGCTTTCACATCAGCTAACTGTTCCCATGAGGACAAGTTAGGATGCTAGACTAACTGGATCATATAAGTTAGATGGCGGAAAGCTGGTACTTGTGGAAGACCACAGATAACTGAGACGAGGGGATGAGCAGTATTCTGGAAGTGTCTCTCTCCATCAAGTATCAAAGGAGTGCAGCTGACTACCTCAGACTGAATGCTTAATGTATAGATTGCTGAGTGAATGTGGGCTTAAGATTTCTAAAAGTTAAGCAAGTTATGAAGTAAGAAAATGATTATATTGATAATATGTAGCTAAAAGAGGTAGTAGTATCCTATCTATTTAGCTGTCCATAAGCAGGCTAAAATCATATAAGCACATTTGAACTCAAGAATATAATTGTGTTCTGTAGCTCCCATATTTCAAATTAATTAAAAAACATTCCTATACTGCAAGTATCTCTTGCTTTAAGGAATGATCTGTACTTAGCACCATCTGTATTCATCAGTGTATAAGACAAGAAAGCTAAGAACAGCGAAGGCAGCACATTTTACAATGTTCCTGGTTAAAAACAGCAGCCAAAGTGCTTGACATTTCCAGTATAGGTAATAGGACTTCAAGCAGGCAGCTTAAGAACAGCTACTGGTAAGAAACAGCCACAACAGCTAACAGATATTGAGGCAGGGTGATGCAGGTAGAGGAGACATCAGAGAGTTTCTCATACACAATTTGTATCAAATCTCAAAGCAAGTCAAGTGAGTACTATATAAAAGTTATAAATTTCAAGCATTCCCACCCCTGGAAGTGTTCAAGGCCAGGTTGGATGAGGCTTTGGGCAACCTGGTGTAGTGGAGGGTTTCCCCGCCCATGGCAGGGGGGTTGGAACTAGATGATCTTTAAGGTCCCTTCCAACCCTAACCATTCTATGATTCATTATATGATTTTTTTCCATCCCATCTTGCAACACTGCCATTTAGTAGGATTCTTTACATTTCTGAAACCCAAACTATATATAAAGGGACATTAGTTTGATGTAAAAATCTGATTTTCCAGTTCATTTTTTGCCATATAATGTTTTCTCAAGCCTCACTACAAAATAAAGAATACAGTCTCTGAATCTCTAATTATCATTTGAGGTTCCTGAAGGTACCTTGCCTCACCTCTCTCCAGTCAGCTGAGATGTCCTAGAATATTTGAGACAGATGCATGGGTCTGGCAGGGATGACACAAGACCTGCAAACATCCCTGCCCTTCTGTAGAGGCTAATGGAGGTAAGAGGGGATCAGGTAGGGTACTCTATAAAGGTTTCGATGCCTTCAGTTATTTACGCAACTGAATCTCGCCCTACATCTCCCTTGATCCCAGTGACAGCTTGAACACCTACCTCAGATGTAGAATTTAAACACCTAAGTTCAAATGCCGATAATCTTGAACTGAACACCACACTGTGCAAATAAAAAAAAATCACATCTCACTTCATTCTGTGATCATCAGTGTGACAACAAAAGTGAGATCTCCGAATTCTTCCTGTTCTTCTATACCACATATACTGAGGTGAGCAGTAGAGGTTTGAGACTAAATCAGCAGCCCTTAGACTGGACACAGGGCCATTAGCTATGCAGAAAGCTTTGGTCTCCCTCATGGACCGTGCCTGCTAGTGGTAGCAGACCATGTACATAGCAGACTCTGTAACCAGACTATGCTGCATTAGGGAAGATCCTGGGCAGGAAGCTGCTTCCTCTGTCCATAAATCGTGTGCACTCACAGTGTGATAGCTTGCCTGTTGAGACAGTCAACAAATTTTTCTTGGCTCTGACAAGGTTCCTTTGAAATTCTAGATGTGTATTTGTTTCCTCTGGCAGTATAAGAGAAAAAAGTCCTTCTAAAGACATAGTTAGTAGGTAAATTAAAACCTGTCTGTGTGCGATACAAATCAAACTTTCCTGTGTTTGCTCAGTCTCTCAAGAGATATTGATTTCTCCTGGGTAGGGGAAAAAAGAAGCAACAAGATGGACAAACTCTAGTTACAGCTGCTACAAGGTATTCACTTCATTGTTTATTCATCACTGCTGGCAAAACCTATCACTGGAACATAGGAACTGTCATATTGGATTAGAGCAGTGGGAAACATAGTCTACTCTCCTGTTTCTGATAGTGGTCAGTATCAGCTATTCAGAGGGGACTAAAAAGAATAATACTCAACCACAAATTTATAAAAGAATTATGTACTGATCTAACCACAGAGGAAGCATCTTCTTTAAGCTCATAAATGTGTGCTTTGTCACGCTACAGATATCTTTATACATAAAGAAAAAAATATGCTTTTAAAAATGTGTTTAAGTCCTTATATTTCAATCTAATGAAATCAGGCTAATTGCATCTTGTAAAGTTGGTTATGTTGACAATTTTCTCATAGATAGAGAACTGTTACCACACAGGATTTGGATCTGTGCAACAAAAGATAGACAATACAGGAATTTGACATAGCTTATTAAAAGGTATTAAAATGAAATATGGTACTTAAAAAACCAAAACAAAACAAAACTGAGAGAGGTTTGATGATGTCACAGCTACAGAACAGTGGGAATTAATGCACCCTATTTCAAAGGATCAGGCAAAATGTAAATGGATTGAGCAGAACTTCCATGATACAACACAGACATCGCGTTGTATGAAGTGAATTATATCTGAGATTTCTGCAAGAAAAGAGTTCACTGGGTTCACCAAAACACAAGTTGAAATGCTCAGAGTTGAATATATATAAAAAGGACACAAAGCTCAAGGCAGTGGAGAAGTACAACTACAACAAATTAAAAGTTTATTCCTACAATACATGTTAAAAGACAAGTGACATGGAGAGCTCCAAATGTACATATTCAGAAATAAAAACCGTAGGGAAGAATGAAACAACATCCCTAAAGCCAAGATGAATTATATACACACTACTCTTAATCTCAAGAAGTCATAAAATATGTCACTTTACCTCAAGGACAAAAATGAACGTGAAAACAACAGACATTGTGGCTAAAGGCACAGTCACCGGATCTGCAGCATCCCACTGAAATGCAAAAAAAAAATCCATTTGTGGAAGCGTAGCTCCTAAACAGAACTAAATGCCTCTTCATTGCCTTAAGTTTTCTTGCGGGTTTTGTTAACTAATAGATTTCACTTTAAAATATACTCAGACAGGAATGGCATCTCGGTGTATTCTTCTCTCACAGATTTACAGCTTAACTGGAAATTAAAAATAGTGGACCATGCTACAAAAAGGCAGCAATTGACTCAGTTCCACAAGTTACAATTAATCTACAGTGATCTGTGCCAACTGAGATTGCTGTGCCTAGAAATCATGTTTCCCTGCATTCATGACAGTAATGGCTTAACTGATCATTAATTGGTGTTAGGAAATGTGCAACACATGCTGTACTGCAATAACGAAACGCTTAAAAGAAACTCAATTACCTTAACTGATAACAACACGGACTGGGCCAGAACAAGTACAGCAATAGTTCTCTTAAAAAAAGGATGCTGAGTTATATCATACATCTTAGCTCTAAAGCCATCGTTATCTGAAAAAGAAAGAGTTCAAGGAGGAGAGTTGAAATACACATATTTTCCCCCGTTTCTTGACATATTTTCCATGCTCATTAGGCACAAAATAATCCTTTACCAGTTTCAAAACACATTTCTAATTTCCTGCTACAATTTTCCATATCAAATAGGGCTTCTGAACATACAATTTCAAATATCCAACAGCAGTGTTGCATGAAGGCTTTGGTACTTGTAGGCCAAGTGCATCATTCAACTGCTATCGGGTTAATACAATCCATTCATATCATTAACAGCCAACTGCAAATATATTTCATTTAGAAATTCATTTTTTTCATTAAGGCTTATCCTAAAACCATCGAAGCACAACCTTTTTTGGGTTGATTTTAATAGCCTTATGCAGAGATCTGTAGTTGGAGCCTCTTTCAACGTTAACTTATGCACAACCTCCTCATGGCCTCATGATTACAATTTTAATTTGAACCGCAGACTCCTGGGGAATTATGAACACTAGGGCTCAACATAAATAAAATCAAAATATCTTTGATACCCGGGCGAGGTGGGAGATGAAGAGGTTGTGCTATCTTCAGCCTGCTTTTCAGATCTTCCCATCGTCTCTGATCCACAGTCAGTAAAGCTGTCCCCTTAATAAAGAGAGAGAAGCATGAAAAGCTTTTGTCATATAAGAGCTAGAACATTTAATGCTGTAAGCATGAAAACAACGCTCTCTTTGGTGCCTGAAATAAAGTTACATACGCAACTCTCCTTAAATAACACACAGTTTGGGTAAAGGAGTCTAAACTATCAGCCAGTACTCGAGGATTTCTAGATGCATTAGCTGTGAGTTTCTGGGACTCAACTCAGCAGGCGCAGTTGTTGCACTTTGTAGCAGCAGCCCAATGTGGGCAGCGAAACACTGCAGGAGGTCTTCCATTTGACTGAACATCATTTGCCAGGAAGCACTGTTTTAAAGAGTGGTCGATTTTGTCTGGACTTTGCTGCAGGAAATCCTACGGCTTGTCAGTGCCACTACAGTTTCTCAGGGAACAAGACCTGTAGGAGACTACTGCTGCTCTCTACTGCTGCTCTCCACAGCTCTCTGCTTGGAGTGTAATTGAAATAAAACAATAGTATGCTATGAATCTACAAGGGTTCCCCACAAAGGAAGCACAAGGACAGCTGGAGATACACCTTTAGGGTGGGTGGTGGTAGACAGTAATGTGTGTAAATGTTTTCATAATACAGAAAGAAACAAGCAAACCACAAACAGAATTCAATGTTATTTAAAATGACCTTGAAAACAAAATGAGGTCCTCATGACTTCAGAGAACTGTAAAATCTCACGGAAGGAGTCTTGAGTTACAAAAACAAGTCAGACCTTTTCAAGTTAAATGTCACGAGCCTGTCTCCCAGATACTTGGCTGCTCCCACAGTCAGCAAGGAGCCACACTGAGATGGATGAGGGCTGGTGTGATCTTTGGGGCTAGCCTCAGCATTGGCTTGCATAGGTGCTGGAACTGCATCTGGCTGTGCAACTGATAAGGTCAGGAGATCTCCCTCTCAGTGGACATAATCTCTTGATAGAGCTGCATCCCCAGATGGCACCCTGGGAGGAGGTGTCTTCCAACATGATGCGGACAAAGCGATAGACATAAGGATGCCTATTACTTGTGTCAGGCTCAAACTGTACTGTTTAGAAATGCTTAGATTAAAAGGCAACCAAATGAGTGTGTCTGTTTTATACTCTTGGAGAGCTTTCACTGCAAAGAAGACATAAGGTGGCAAAAAAAGTGGACCTTTGTAAAATTTAGAAACAGCAATGTCAAGTCAATCTCTTTCTCAGAAACTACCACCTCCACCAGCAAGACCACTATAAGAGGACCACAGAGCAGAGCTTTGCGAGTGGCACCACTGCTGGAGGAGTTGCATTTGCATTTGGACTTCGGCTCAAAACTGCCAGATGCTATTTGAGTCGATCACATCTTCACTGCCAATTGAACATGTGGCACTTGGAAGCTACAACAAGTGATGTGTGGGCATTGTAAAATGGGGGGTGGTGGAACACTTTGGGCAACTGCTGTGTTGCTGGGACAGCTGAGGACCCAGCCCAGATCTCCTTGTGGTACTTCCCAGTCCAATGTCTCCAGGCCTGCAGCTCTGACAGCTCACATGAAATACTATGGAATAACTGAAAATATTTGTGGTTGGTTGTTTTTTTTAATTTGTTTGTTCTCATGTAAAATAGTTCATTCAGTAATTGCCCATCTCTGACCCTCTTCAACAGCTCCTGACACTACTCTAACCATGTATCAGCCATGAATTTTCTAAAGCCAACATCAACATCTACTTAAAACACCAATAGCTTGGCCAAGTAACTAGTTTCAAGAAGATGTAACTTAACCTCATACAGTGGACTGTTTTGCTCTCTTCTTTCTGGACTAATTGCTGGCCTTCTCTCTATCTTACTTCACACTTATTTCAGTTCCTGGACATTTCTTCACTCTACTTGACTGTTGATTGTGCTGAGATTTTTTCCCCTACTGCAAAAACTAACATATCCATCTTTTCAACTCAAATCTGAAGACGTTTTCTTTTCCCTATATTAAATACACAAGAAACAGGTATTCAAGAAAAAAGAGACATTACATGCTGCAGCAGCTACCTGAAGTTACTAATTACATGCTGCAGCAGCTACCTGAAGTTACTTAGAAACAACTGAAGAAGTTGAACCAGATGACATTATTCACGAATGATTTATACTGATTGTATTTTTAGTATCATGTAAAATCTATAGAAATACTGCATGATGTGCCTGTTGTGTAATTTACAGGGAACTGTTAACAAGTAGCTTTTCTGATGTTCAGATTAATGCCTTCCCTGTATTCAGATATGGAATTAAGAGACTAGAGCATTCATATCTGAAAAGGTGGTTATAGTTTGAGGAAAACGTACAAGCAGAGAAAACTACTCCAAAACGATAAATGTAAAAATCAGATAGTTTTCTGAAAATAACGGGAACCCTAAATCAGGCTGTAGACCTCAGACTTCCACATTTACACTGGCAGCTCATGCAGGGGCAGTCAGGGATAAGACGAACTGTTTAATTATCTCCTGTGATCACAATCCTTGTAAGTCTCCTGTTCACATCTTTCTGTTCCCTCTCATTTTGAACCACAGTGAACATAAATAAACTTTCAATTTCCACATGAATTTGAGTTGTCTTGTGTCTTTGAAGCTGCATATCTAGGAGAAGGGAATGAAATATGAATCTGATATGCAGTCACATACAATTAAGGGCTTTTTTCCCTGGTTCATGTTTATATCTCAAATCTTAAATAAAAAACCACTGGTGAAAGATTTACACTGATATTGTGGATAAATCACTTCAAAAGTAACCTGTGGGTTGGCCCAGATCACCTTATTCACCATAGTCAATTGTTGACTACACAGATGAATACTGAGTTATAAGTTAATGACATCTCACTAATTTGTGAAAGAAATCTCACAAGCTGCCTTTGAAGGAGACAGGCTGACACAGTGAACTTGATTTGGTGAGTGACTCCTATGGAAAGAGGGGGAATTAAGAGTAAAAACACTGTCTAGGAGATTAACAGCATTTGGTAAGATTGAGTCTATTGTCACAAAAGCATAGTACAAGTCATACTAGTAAGGACAAAGCTCCAGCTTCATTGGTACCTTTTTCTCTGTGACAACAGCCAAAAGTAGATGCTCGTATGTGTAGTAAGGCAACCCAGAGCAGCAAGTGGCTCCCAATGATTCTCCGTTGCCCACAGAGCTGGCTCAGAATTCATGGCACATACATTTAAGACCCCATGCAAAGCTAAAGGGGAAACGCACTGCTTTACCCTTACAGGGTAAAGGAAAGATGTTTAAGCACACATGATCAAAAGCTATTTAAAAGCAAACTCTGCAATGTTGATAGTTCTTCTTCTCACCTATACTTGTGCCTATGAAGAGGTTTTAGAGGAAATTACCCTGCATAGAAACTGTAAAGAGGAATGAAGAAAGTTTCTCTGATAGAAATGCTCAGCTAACATCTCAGCTGAGTTTCATGAACTATGATGTACATGACAGAAACATACATAGCTAAATACATTAAAGCTATAGAAGAAAAACATTAAAATAATTTCAGCATTTCAAAGAATATTTTAATGATCTGTAATTTAAATAAACGATGTTATTTTTTTCAGGACTTGCTGAAAGATATTTTTTACTCATCAGTGTAACATTGAAACATTTGAAGGAAAAGTAATATTACACAGCTGAATAGGAAGGGGCCAAAGCATCTATGAAAATCCAGTGGGATTCTCATACTGGAGAAATTTCAGCTTTTTTAATTCACTAGGCAAAATTTGGTGAATAAGAATATAAATGAATAGCATATTGCTCCTTGTTCTCTAGAACAGATGTATTTTACCAAGAACGACTGCATTTTATCTCACCAAAATAACACTTGAATTATGCAAGCATAAAAATACCTTCTCAACAGCAGGAGTTTTAGGCTATTGTGCTGATTTTTGCTGAGGTAGAATTAATTTTCTTCATAGTAGCTGGTATGGGGCTATATTTTGGATTTGTGCTGGAAATAGTGTTGATAATACAGGGATGTTTTAGGTATTGCTGAGCAGTGCTTACACAGAGTCAAGCCCTCTTCTGCTCCTCAGCCCACCCTGCCAGGGAGCAGGCTGGGGGTGCACAAGGAGTTGGGAAGGGACACAGCTGGGACAGCTGACCCCAACTGACCAAAGGAATATCCCATATCATATGACATCATGCCAAGCATATAAAGCTGGCGGAAGAAGGAGGAAGGGAGGGATGTTCAGAGTGATGGTGTTTGTCTTCCCAAGTAACTGTTAGGCATGATGGAGCCCTGCTTTCCTGGAGATGGCTGAACACCTGCCTGCTGATGGGACGTAGCGAATGAATTCCTTGTTTTGCTTTGCTTGTGTGCATGACTTTTGCTTTTCCTCTTAAACTATCTTTATCTCAATCCATGAGCTTTCTCACTTTTACACTCCTGATTCTCTCCTCCATCTCACCAAGGAAAGTGAGTGAGTGGCTGCGTGGGACTTAGCTGCCACTGGGGTTAAACCACGACAGCTATTTATTTGGCTCACGTCGTGTTTGACTTCATTTCATGACGCCTTGCTTGCCCACATTGGACACTTGGTAGTGTGCTGTTCAGCTTCCTTTCAGAAGGAGTCAAGTGCTTTTCTTGAAGGGCAACTCAACAGTTGTATTTACTACAGTTCGGGTCAGGGCCATAGCAGGGCTATGGCCAGCACCCACTTTGTCTCCAGCACTAGCACACGGGGTTGTCTTGCATCTCCAAGTGCCACAGCACACAACCATTCCTTCTCTCCAGTGCCATGAGTGATAAAAATATCACTCTAGCTAGCTGCAACGCAGATATCTCATTATTTTGGGGCACTTTGAACTGAAAGATGATAAGAAAGTCAGATTAAGGACTGTGTGTATGCAGCAATCCCATCCAGAGGATGCTGTCTTCAAGCCGTGTAGACATGAGCTGCTCTGTAACAATTAATCTAGGGACAGTTTTCTATACTTTTCAGTGCAATTTGCAAAGCCCATGTGAACTGCAGCTTCTTCCTAGTACACTAGCTATTTTTTTGTTTGAGTGATGGACAATTGAATTTTACAACATACTCTGCTGTTTGCCAGCAAAAAGACACACAGCTTTCCTTTGAATCTGAAACACTGCAATCGCAGAGCTCTAATGAGATCCGTCAGTTGTAACACAAACAAGCATAACACATCTTTTCACCTTCCCCTGAATGTATGCCTACATCAGACTAAATCACCAAAATGTGGAGCATCTGTAAGTACATTGTGCTTCAGGTTCAATCTCCATCTGGCAACATGGCTGCATTGTAAATTCACTCAGACAGCTTTTAAAGAGTGTGTGATGGATTGCTATCATCCCAGGCTTGAGTTCTGTAGCAAATACGGATCAGGTGTGTCTGAAACCATACTTGCAGTCTTGCAGAATGCAAGATTGGTAAGTCAATCTGAAAGGTAGTCTTACTAGGTAGAACAGACAGTGTAATACCAGCTTCAGGTTTCTTACAAAGCCAGTTCTACACAAGATGAACCACCTCACTCAGTACCTTGTTTTCATTGAAATTAGCGATGACAACTCCAACGAAAAGTGTCAGTCCAATCATGCAGCCAAGGAATACAAAAACATGAATGTAGATTCCATGGATCTGAACAGAAAAAAAACAGGATTAATCATTAAAACAAATCAAGGTATGTGTTGTAGAATTCAAAGACTCTGACGTGCTTCCTTACCGGCCCAACACGATGAATAATAACATCTCTGACTTCCACCCAGCCTTTTAATGAAAGAACTTCAAACAGTGCCAGCATTGCGTTCCCCACATTGTCAAAATTAAAATTCCGAGGATTTGCCCTGAAATGCAGTACACAAATAGGTGTAACTTCGCAATAAAGTTGTTCTTTCTGCTACCTTGATTCTTCATAGTCCAACTAATTTTTAAATACCTTGCCAAGTTGGTGTGAAAGCCTCTGAAATATATCACTCAAAATTCTGTCCCAAGAAAAACAAAACAATAGCAACAGCAACAAATATGTACAGCATAATTTTTCTTGATCCCTAAGCATGTTTTGTTTTGCTACTCAGAATCTGATTCATGGTAATAAAGCTTATAACATGTTGCTGCATTTCAGTGTTTTTTCAATGAAATTAGCGAAACACAGCACTCAAGAAAAAATGGGTCTGATGGCATCAGACAGATTCTAAAATAAATGTACCTGAAGGAGACCAGTCTTGAACTCACATAAATGACTCCAAAGTTAGCGAGATTGTTTAGAAAATGTTGTTCCTTATTTCATTATCATCAGGACCCAATGGTCTAAAGCAAAACTCACTGAGAGGACATCACATCTTCTTGGCTTTCATGTACCTTTTGTATCAGTTGAAATTCAAGAGGGTGTTTCCAGCTGAACATTAAAGGTACCCTCTTTGGGCTAGGTTTGCACATTGCTCTGCCTCTACAATCCGAGACAGATAATCCAAAGAACCCAATTAATGTTGAAGAATTTATAAAGTAAATAGTTGTATTGCAGAAGAATTGTTAAATGCTTGGTGCTTTTGAAAATCCAGCCATTCAGTGAAAAAGAGAGCTCTCAGATGTAGCTATTTCTTTTAAATGTGGTCATTATGCTGACATCTGGCTCTTGAAAATCTGGCCTGACACAGTCAACAGGTGGTATAAATGTCCTTGAAGTAAAATATTTTTCTGCAATAACAAAACATTCCCCAAAGTTAACAGTTATGCTGATTAGGACAGTTTTTGCTTATTTCTGGATCAAGCTGAAGAGGATCGAATTTGCTTACTCGAGGAAGAATTTGTCTGAAATATACAAAAACAAAGACTTCTGCAGATGTCAGAGTTTCACTGACTATTCAAATCACAGTATATTATTTCATTAGTGTAGGATGGCTGTGAATCTGCCACTGCTGGTACATTCTTTATTCACACACATAGTCAATTAAAATAATTGTCACTGTTTAGCTGATTTTGCAAAATATCAACCAACTTCAAAATGTAAACAATTAAAAAGTTTTTTTTTGCCTGATCAGGTGTTGGGAAATATTAAATAGACTTTATCAGATACTAATAATAAACGTAATGTTAGCTCTTAAATAATTTTTACTGCACTACTGCACTAGGTAGACCACAAGGATTCCTTGCATTGGAAACAGAAAGAAGCTGCTAGCTGGCATGGTTGATTGCTATAGAAGAGAAAGGCTGGCTTTATGCATGACTTGCTTGTTCTTTTTTTTGTGGGTAGCAGTAGGCAGGTTGATTTCCCTTTCTTTCTTTCCCCATATTTTCCTATTTATTCTTAAGTTCTGTTGTTGACGTATGGCTCTCAAGATGCCTTCATAATAGTACTAAAGCACAACTAAGTGATAATCTAGGTTCAGGTCACTAACTCTATTGTAATAATAATCACATCTAATTCCTATCTAGGTTCGGTACTTACAGGTAATTTTTTCATTTCTGCTTTATGAATAGAACAGCAGGTTAAATCTGGAAAAGTTTCATATATCTGGCTTTTTACTAAATATACCAAAATTTTTACCCTTAATATCATTTAACTTACAATAAAACTCCCCCATCAGTAGTTTAACGTCATGAGATCTGAGCCATTTTCTACATCAACAGCTGAGTTTTTGAAGAAAGATAGACCAATGTGTAGCAACTCACCAGACTCGTGGCACCCAAAATCCAGGCTTTTTCTCTCCAGGTCTTAACTTTAAATTGAGATTTTTGGAAACACTTACATTGATTCTGAAGATGCCATGACAATCTTCCTATAGTGAAATAAACCATAGCCTGAGATTAAACAATGGCCTGTGAGAGATGCCAAAATGCCATCATGGTCAGCATACTTGTCATGATGGGAAGCAATGTAAACAGAAATGAAGGGTTATTTACAAGTCTGGGATTAATAGTCATGGACCTTTACCCAAAGGAAAAACGCATCTTAGGAAGGATTCAAAAAACCATTCTTCCAGGACTAAGAGTGCTTTTCATTTTACAAGACTTATCTTGCCTTTCACCTCTTTCCTAAAGACCATTGCTCTCTTCAGGTGATATTTCTCTAAATGGCATAAGAAACACAGTCAACTTTCTTCATGTAACTTACATGGCATTCCCAGTGCTTTTGACCTCTAGCTGCCTAACCTGTTTTTTAGCTGCTGACCTGGGAATGCAAAGGTGTCATATTCCATGGTTAATTCATCCAGTCCTTTGCAGACAATGTGGCAGGAATTTGACAGCTTTTTCAGAAAGTCCCCAATATTTGGATTTGCGTTATGTTTTCACATGAAAACCCAGCCTTACCCTCATTTACTCACTCCTTTATCACCATTTCCTCCATTGTCCTGCTCTGAACAAGAAAGTGCCCAAGATCTCCAACTCTCATATGATAGCTCTGATTACCCCTCTGGCTTTCCCTAGCAGGCAGAAATGGCATAGCATACCATTATTTTGAAGCAGGAAAGCAGTTCTTACCCTAGAGATGATGTGTGGATCGTTGCATTTAGCCAGTTTTCCAGCAAACAGCTGCACTCCAAAGCTTGCAAAAACAAGCATTAATGTCAGCAAAAGAATAGAAACCTGTAAAAATGAAGTTAGAGTTGTCAAGCTCTCCGCCTGCAGACTTGAGAAAGGGGGTCAGATCCTTCTGTGAACTGCAAGGAGGATCGTTGTGTTGCATACACCTGGAGAAAGGCTTTCACGACCAACACGTTACTTTAGGTGCTGATCCAGTGATCAGGTGCTGTGTCATTAATATTATTGTTAGTAACATAGCATCTAAGAATTGTAGATAAGGATCAAAGCTGACATTGTAGATAGGATCAAAGCTTTCTTGCACTCAGTGTACAACCTTGCTAAATTCCACATGCATAAGAATTGCCATTCACTTTAAAGAGAACTCTTCAAGTACTTATATACATGCTGCTTCTGTTTTGCTAAATCAGTCTTTACTAATTAATCCGAGTAAGCCATTGTTAGATATTTAATTCCACGATAGCTACAATAAAAATATGCATGAGCAACTAATGATGTAAATATCTTCAATAGGATACAGTACCTATGAAATGTTAACTAGCTTTATACTTTTTCTCCTTGTTCTATTACTGTCTGCAAATATTTTCTAGCTCAGCTTTTTATAACGACCTGACCTAATACAATATTGTGTTCAGGAATAAAATGTCTGTTGTTTAGGCTGACACATATCACTGAGGGAATGTTGGGTCCCAAGACAATAGATTAGGTTCTGATCAAGCAGTCACAAACTCTATTATTATAATAATTATTATAATTACTACTACAACAACAACTGCATAATCATGATCATAATAACAACAACAATGACATAACAATGAGATCCAGATCTGTGATGAACAATTGCATTGTCTCTAGTTGCCTCACAAAAAACTTGGAGGTAGAGACCTTCAGCTCAGAATCCAGGTTTACTTTAGTTCTTGCAGAGCTACCATACCCTACTTCTCATCTTCCTTTCCCAACTAGAACTGTGAATAAGGGGTAGATCTTATTTCAGTAGTCTGCCTGTGTAATTATGGCCAAATATATACTGAAGGAATAACATAATTTATAAAAGAATTATTACAGCAGCTTTATTCAGTATAAACGTAAAGGAGTTACTTATATTCCTAAATTTTAACTTGTTCTTTGGTCATCTGCAGTGGAAGCTGCAAGGAAAAGTAAGCAGACAACAATGGAGAAAAGATTGGAAAACATAAACATTATAGCAAAATGGTATCTTATTACTCCTCCATATCTTCTTTTTAACAAGAAGAATGAAATAACAGGCACATACCAAAAAGATTTCCTTAAAGCCACTGAATAGCTCTCGCACCACTTTTCTCATCTGAGGGACCAGTTTGAAAATTCGAAGAGGTCGGAGGCAGCGGAGTACCATTAAGAGCTGAGCTCCGGATTTGGCAGGCACGTTCTGTGGCATCCAGCACAGGAATATCAAACTCACCTTGAGGAGACAGGGCAGGAAAAGGCAAAGAAGGATTACGCTTACAATGTCTTACTTGACATAGACACAGCGTGGAAGATCAAGGAACACTTCTCTTCCTTAAAATTAAAGGGAAGGTTAAGGCAAAACAAACCTAATTTAGAAAAAGGACTTGGATCTCCAGTGCCCTGGCTGATTGTCCCAACTAATGGGCATCAGCTTCAGTCTCTGTCTTCCCCTTTGACTCAAAATCTATTTTATTATTTTCAGCAGATGGAACAGTTTCAAAAGAAGAAATCGAATTGGCTGATTCAGAGCAGGAACATGAACGACATTCTTGGAGCAGGCAGCGGCATCTCTCTTCTCTCTTCTCATTTCAAACAGAGATTCTATCCTGAAACTGAGATATTCGCGCCTGCAAAGCCTCTTAACAGTTTCCTCGCCAGTTTTTCCTACCACTTTGTTACCAGCATAAGTAGTTTTGTAACGGTGTGATTTTATCACAACAGTATTATGCATTCAAAAGTGTTTGAAAACAGCACAGCTGTGTCGTGTAGCCTGAACGACGTCTGAAAGATGGTTATTGATTATAAAGTCTATTAATTATTTCTTATTTTTTAAAAAAGGTATTTTTGAATATACATATAAGTATTTTTAAAAAAATACTTATATAAAGTCAATGTTATTATAGGGAGACAGGTGAGAGTGTTACAAAGAGGTAAGTGCACAAAAAATGGAGGATCAAGCTGACATCACCAATATGACTGAAAACATAATACCATTTGTTAAAAACAACAGTGGTAAAAGACAGCTGCCCCACCAAACCAAAAAGATTTGCCAGTGCTTCTGACTTTCTTTCACACTCTTTTAAGACCACCACAGGCACATTTGGAATATCCAGGCTACACCACCTAAATTTTCCTTCAGACAACCAGAGGGATTCAGAGGGATTTCAAGAAACTAATGCACATACAGATTATGCATACTACAGTAGGAGTTTTGTATAAGTATGCATATTTTTATTTATGCTAACAATGGAACCTTTGATACGAATTAATCATGACAAATTTTATGCAGCACATCTGTCTGGTGGATTAGTCTCTGAAAGATTTAATCTAAATCCATCAAAGCCATTTTGCTTAGTAATTTCTTTAGTTAGAAAATATTTCATACTGTATTACACTGAGCACTTGTTTTGACACATTTTGTGGTGCTTACTGCCATAAGTGAAGAGGAAATGGACCCCCTTCTCTTGTATTTGAATGGAATGCAAGAAACTTCTGGGGGACCAGAAAATAGTAGCATATTTTTTTTCCTGAGAAACAGTACTGACAGGTATGGAATAAAGAAAGATGTTGCTTTGCTTTCTTTGTGCTCCAGCAACAACAGCAACAACGATGTGCTCTTCTGTCAAACAGCAGAGGCTTTTGAAACACCTTCTATAAAGCAGGAGAACTTTTGAGAGGGGAAGAAGCAAAGAATGACTAAGAAATAGATAAAGATTCTCCTGCATAAAAATGCTGAAGCAAGGTCAGAGATCTTGAGTTTACTTTGGAATGAAATCAGGTCTGATACTTAAAACATATGAACAAATAAACAACTAAAAGGGCCCATACAATGGCTGTACACTAAATTTCCAGATGCTTATCACATCAGTGTATTTTTAGATGTCCAAACAAACATTTGTACACATTACTGATAGGACTGCACATGAAAACAGCAGTGTTTGTACACAAGTTACACTACTGCATTTGCACCAGGGTGCAGAGCCATACTTCTTAACATTACAAAACATTTATATATCCAAAGAGATCAAAGTTAAGAATGCTACAGAAACCTACCAGAAATATAAAAACTTACAAGATAAATAAATATGTCCATAACTCCTCCAAAGTCTCTAATGACAGCTGTTGGTGTAAAAAACAAGCCATCTGCCATAATCTTCAGATTAAGCTCTATGCTCATGAATATTACAAAAACATATTCAGCAATCTGAAAATCAAAGCAGAGAACAGTCATAATTTAGGAATAGGCAGTGGAGAAAAACAAGGTGGCTGTGCTTCATTAAATGTAAAATGATTCAGTGACAGTACCTGGAGTGTTGGAGCATGCATAACTCTTCTAAAGGGGGATTCGAACATCATGGAAATGCAGGAGCATATAGTAACAATGATCATGACCCAGTCCAGGTAAGTAACCAAACCCAACAAGTCACTGTGAACAATACATAAGGATAACCATTACAGAAATGCCAAGAGCTCTGTGTCACTTGTATTGTGTCTACACCACAGTTAAGTGCTTTCCTATGAAAAATAAATTAAGCAGAGGAGTGTCAAAGATTTCAGAAATGCATAGTAAAACCAGGGAAGTGACATGCAAGTGAAGAAGACAAGTCTGATAAAAAAAATGCTCTTCCTACTCATCCTCCTCCCCAAACAACTCCATGGAAAGAAAAACCTTTTTTTGTGAAAAAAAAAACCCAACACATGTGCATGCACACATACACACATACATGCATGTGTGTGCTCACTCCCTTATACTGCAGGCTTATGTGACCAAGTAAAATTACTTTTGCAGTGCTTACTAAAGCTGATGGTATTTGGTATTTTTCACAGCTCCAGTAACAGGATCTGTTTTAGAACTATAAAAAGAAGAAAAGATACAGTCATTTACATTTTATTTTAGTTAGCATTATAATTATACCATGCATCCATCACCTCAAAGTAATTTATATCCAAAATCAAGGCTACATTTTAACTTTGGCTTCATTTTAAATGTCTGTGTAAGTTTCATTTAATTTTAGTCATTTTGTCAACACAGCTAGTATCACTTTAATTCATGGCCTATCTGTAATTCCTCTAACAATTCTTTAAACTCCTGGTTTTTTAGGTCTTACTTTCGTAAGCAAAGACTTAATTTTGTATTTTGCCTGGGGACGGGGTGGGGGATAACCTGCTACTGAATTTTATGTTCCAAATGCTTCTTCAGGAGTTCTTTCCTTTTACTTCAAAACCTCTTGGACCATATCCTCAGTTGACACACAAAAAAATCCTTCTCCAAGCCCTATTTGTTTTATTACTTCTTCAGTCATTTTCTGAGGAATATTTCTAGTTTCTCCATATCAGAATTTTCCTATGATGAAATTGTCGGTTTCATCTACCATATCCAAACACCCCATAGGCAGCCAGAGAGAGTGAGAACCACTCTATAAGTCACAAGCACATATCTAGGTGACACAAGTTAAGTTCTTGCTCCAGCAATTAT